AAAAAAAAAACCTAAAAAACCTTAAAAACCTTAAAACGTTAAACTTAAACGTAAAGCTAAAAACTAAACAACACACATATATATATATATATATATATATATATATATATATATATATATATATATATATATATATACCAGCACCTTTCTTGAGCTTCAAAACTATTATAAAACAACCCACTTTAAATAAGTCATTATAGTATCACTTCAGCAATAGAACATTAAAAAAACTTCTGAATCAATTCTAAAACTAATTACATTATGTGAGTGTATACAAGATACGAGACTTGGAAGTAATTCATGATTAACATCAAAAGACAACAGTATTACAATATCAAGAAACTGTCAGCATCCACTTTGAAGTTACTAAGTTACTTCTAAATACTATCATGAACCTAAACATTGGACAAGGTTTAATTCACAGGGGGTCAGAGAATCCATCTACAGGTAGTTATCATGTACAATTGTTTTCTGTCAATTAGATAAAGCAAATTAAGCTTACCATCAAGGGGAAGAAAGTATAAATACAACACAAAACAATAGTCAAGAAATTAGCTAATTACTACGACTGTTTAATGTAAAAAGCAGAATATCAAACTGGTTGTGGTCTGATATTCCTGTCGCTATGAAATGACACACTAGCTAATGGACTTCATTATTACGAATGTGTGAAGATGACACATTTAAGATGTACTAATTTCCAAAGAATGTTTTTTTAAGTACAAAAAATAATTAATTTTAACTATCTAACCTATGGGGTTTGTCTGTTTGACTACCTTGTAACCACCATAAAAAAACATGAAATAAATATAAATTACCTCTTTTTCTTTCTAGAATGACTTCAAATTGCAAGAAGAAACTAGATTTGTTTATCCTAAATAACTTACACATCATAACAGCATACAACTGTTTCTACTTAAATTTTATTGCCCTTTGAACCATGTCTCACAAATAATCCCACCACACAAATTGGAAATTACTCAAACATGTAGCTCATGTTACTCTATCGAATTATGTAACACATGGACTAATGATGAGCGTAACTCATGAACAATTTTTATTATTATTTTTTTAATATTTTACCTAATCTGAACTAAAAAAATTTCTAATTTTTGCATTTTAGTTCCTTTTACAAAAATAAAGAATACCCATGAAAAACAAGAAATACTGTATTTACCTGGGTCTTTTTTTAATGCTGTTGAATGTCAATGAAACTTAACCCTAGTTTTTTTTTAATTATTTATTATACTAATGTTACATCTGCACTAAATTTATGTAATTAAATAATGCATCTAAGAACACAGAATAATAACTCGTAAAAAACAATAAACAATGTTCTATAACTATCATAATTGTTTGGCTTTCTAACCATGCAATAAGAGCCTTTAAAATTCAACTAAGTTTGTCAATTTGTTGTGTTTCCTGTGAGAATAAAGTTTGTACTGGAATCGAAACAGACAATTCTCTGTACAGAAAACAACATATTTCATATAATACATCATTTGATAGGCTAAAACTGGCTTTCTATTGGTTATAAATAATGTAGTATCAAACATCAGAGAGAACTATTAGCAATTTGTGAAAAAGAGGGTGTGATAGGTGGGTGTGGCAAGAGGGTTCTGATTTTCTGACTTATGGCTCTGTAACCAAATAAGAGAGAAAACTATAAAGATTATGCTTCTGAGTGATGACAATGTTATAATGAGTAACTTGCATTGAATTCCAAACCTCTCGGAGGGGTGGTAAATAAATTAGAGAAGAGGGATGACCTAGAGAGCAAACGTCACAATTCTCATACAAGGGGAAAATTGAGATTTATTTTTTAATACTGCCTTATAAAGTTAAGAATGTATAATAGTTAGATGTGGATTATTAGCTTTTTGATACAAAGTTTTTCTTATATCATGATAATAAAGTAGTTTAACCCTCTCTGCCGAGGCATCATTTACTGCACATCAAGAGGTTTTAGTGACTTACATTCAAAATTTTATTAAACTACTTCTTGTTTATGTTATACCAATTAGTACAGCATAAAATCTTGGCTAATAATACATATTTTAACAGTATAATAACTTTTAAGTTCCTAATTTTATAAGGAATTATTTTTTAAAAAATCCTGAATTCCCCTAGTGTGAGAAATGTGACATTTTCTCTAGGCATCCCCTCTATTTTATTCACCACCCCTCCAATAACATAGATTACTCACTATAAAATCATCATTGCTTGGTTACAAAGCTATCAAATAGAAAAATCAGACCCCATCTTGCCACACCCACCTTTCACATCCTTTCTTTCAGGAATTGTTAATAGTTCTCTTATGTTTAATTCTATACTATGTATAACCAATAAAAAGCCAAGATTTTCATCTATAAAATGATACATCATATTACACTGTTTTCTGAACAGAGAATTGTCAATTTCTCTGTTAGTACAAGCTTCATTTCCACAGGAAAGACAGCAACTAGCTTCGATGAATTTGTAACAGCCCTTGTCGCATAGTTAGAAAGCCGAAAAAATTGTGATAGGTAGGGGAAATTGTCTGCTTTTTATATGTTATTATTCTATGTTCCTAGGTGCATTATTTAATTAAATAAAAATTATTTAGTGCACTATTACCATTAGTATAAAAAAGAAGGGTTGATTGTCATCGACATTCAACAGCAAAAAAAAAAAAAAAAAGAATGTCCAGGAAGGTACTTTATTACTCGTTTTTCATGTATATTTTTTTTTATTATAAAAGTAACTAAAATGTAAAAATAGGATTCTCTTTAGATTAGGTAAAATAAATAGTCATATTATAAAAAAATTTAATGAGGCACACACGTAAACAGCTCAGAGTAGCTTACGAGTAAAGTAATTCAATAGTATAACATGAGACCACATTCCCCAAGTGATTTACAACTTATAATGGGATGAATAGTAGTTAGACACAGTTCAAAAGGTGATAAAACAATAAAATGTAAGTATAAATAGTTATATATTGTTACGAGCTTAAAGATACTAAGGATAAACAAATGTAGTTTCATGTTACAATAGAAAGAAAAAAAAAGGGTAATTTAGATTCTCTTTATGGTTACGAGGTCTTCCAAATTGACCAACCTTGTATAGAGTTAGGGTAGAGAAAATAACAGATAAAATATAAATTTTTACTCAAAACAAACGTTTGAAATGTATTTAGGATGTTTTAGGGATTATGCATATGAAATTTGAGGTTTTTCGGAAGAAAAATAATATTTTTAATGATAACATGAAAATCACTTTGCACTCAGACTAGTAACAAAACACTCGATATGTTCACAAACAAATCTTTAGTAAAAATACTTCATGAAAAATTCTGATTTTTGTGTGTAAAAAGGACTTGCAATGTTTCCCAAAATCCACCAATTTTGTGAAAGTTGACATACTATATTAAAATTTATAGTATAAACTCTTAAGGAGTGCAAATGTGTGTATACAGACTCTGTATTTTATACAGAGCCTGTTGTGAAAGGATTAACTGACCTTGGCTCTGGCTAGAGAAGATGCTGTGGGATCAGCAATTATCTGGGAAAAAATAGGACCTATTTCATGAAAGAGAGTCTCACACTCATTTCCTACACCAAGATGTATACAGACAAGAGCTGTTAAGATTGCTGCTATTTCTTGTTCTTCTCCTTTTCCCTTCTTTAAACTTCTTTCCAACATATCGGTAACAGTGATTTTCCTGTAATTTAGTAAGTAATATGAAACTATCATTTAATATACTATTATCTATAGCATTATTACGAAAATCATAAATAGGCAAAACAGTTTGGCACACTTTAACAAAGCATATACAAAAGAATACTAAGCTTTCACTAGTGATGTAAAAGTTAAAAAAAAATTCCAGAAAAATTTGAGATCTTAAGAATTACCCTGGCTAATGTTTTCACTTTTTCTCAATTTATCTTTAAAAATTTCCATTAATCTAAATGTCATAAAATGTTAGATGAGCACAATTTATTCATAATATGTCAAACAAAATAAGAAAATGGACCCAAGGTCAAGAAATATTTTTTTAAGGAGAACACAAAAAAATATTATAATGACAAAAATATAATTAACAAAATAGTACCAACTTTTAATGAAAATTTATGAAAACTGTTATAGAAAAGTATCAAATCATTTTAATAGTATCATGACAGAGACGAAAACCTTCCCTTTTTCCAATTTGGCATGGCATACTTAACAATGATTGTTACTATTTGTTTTATTATTTTTAGATGAACATTATGATGTCAACATATTTGAAATAAATATTCTTTCATTCTTAAAAAAAATCAAACCAAGATGATTGTAATAAAGGGATGCACATTACTGTTGCAGGAAAATGGACTGCGACATGACAGAATCAATAATAAAAGATATTGATTCAGCACAAATTTTATATATATTAGGATTAGTGAAAATTTAGAATATTTACTGTTATGAACTTTTGATTCTACTCCGTTTCTCCTTCAGTCATTCTTTACTGTATGTAATATCAATGTTGTTTTTCTCAACCTAACTGTTCATTAAAATCCACTTATGATGTGAAAAGTGTAAAAATGTGTTTAAGTTCAAACACCCCACCTATGAACATTTTTCCATCCTTAATTTCAGACCTGACATGTTAACAGATTTTTTAGGAGCCACTTGTCAGCCAAAATTTATCAGAATGGAATATCATGGGTTTCATTTTCTGTATTCTGAGCTACAGGTACTTCATTTATTCTCATATGTTTCAGATTTAAAAAAAAATTGGAATCCAATTTGTGTTAAAAATATCGTAGGTAATGCATACTATCAGAAAATGTGATTCCAGCAAGTGACTCTTGGATTACATATAGTGTGTGTGAGCACGTGAACAACTGTTCCTACCCTGACTCCACATCTCTGACACTTCTTGTATTAAAATGCACAGCTTGTTAAATTTTGAACTTTTTCCATTAGCATGCAAAACACCTGTTGATTCACACCAGCAAGTTCTACCAAATGTAAATTTTATTTTTTCATACCATTTTCATTTTGTCACATTTTAGCATAGCACCTTTGTTAAGTGATGCTCTGTACTGAAAGATAGTTTAACATGTTTGAACATGTACACATATATATTTCCTATACATCATATATTCTTTACATCTAAGCCAATTGGGTTATTGTAATACTATCTTTAAGACACTTTATAAAGAAATAAGTTATCTAAACCAGCATGAACACACTGCAACTGATAAGCAAAAGTTAAGATTTAACCATGTATAACAGACAGAAAGGTATCATCATTTAATCTGCAAGGTATGATTAAGTTCATTCCAGAACACTATACAAGTAACACATCTAACTTTTCAGTCTTCCCGATTTCACAGGTCTCCACTGTGACTAATATTCTTCCACAATTTGAAAGCATAACAACAAAAAAATGGATAATTTGTTTATTTTAATAATATAAAGTCATATATCAGCTACCATAGAAAGCCTAATAACATTTTTGCATTATACTGCTTTGTTCCCACCATGGCATACCCACATACGGACCAACAGATAAGCCTTGTGCACATGCAAGACTGGTTTCATTTGGAGATTTTACAAACAAAAAAAAAACAGTCACTTGGTACATAGATTTTCACGAGTGCATGACATCAGCAGCGTACTTGGTGCTCAGTGTGAATTCATGACGACTATGGTAATGTTTTTCCTTTCAAAGATACATCAGGCACTGAAAATGACTGCTTTCAACCTGGGCATTCCCAAGTCAAGAAGGCTAAATTTGGAAAGCCTTTATTTATTAAGAAATATTGCCTTCGTTTGGTCTAAAACTTGTAAACATTTCAATAAAGTTTGTGTGCATTAGTAAAATTCAGTAACAGACACTTCACTATAATTCACTTAAAAGGGTTTAGATCAAAATAGGCTAAGAACCAATGCATCTTGTTTTATTACATGTTTAAAATGAAAAAAAAAATTTGTTGTTGTTGTTTAAGTGCCTCAAATAGATCCCTTTTGAAGTTCTATTTTCAAACATTTTTCACACCATACCCTCACCCACTCAGGTGCTGCAAGCTCTACTCACAGTAGACTCAGTGAACCTTCCTACAAATGCCCTTCCCAGGCTGGAAGCTCTAAAAAAAACAACAATATATTTAAGTTATGAATCTTGTTATATCACATAGCTTTATTTACACTCACCTTTCAATAATGAAGTCGTACATGTATTTTGATGTGAAACCTTTTCTAATAGTTTCTAGACAGACCATTCGCCCTTTTGCACTAAAAAAAAAGAGAAAATTGGATGTGCATTTTCCTATTAAATAAGCCAATGCTAACAAATTTTTAAAAATTATGAACAGGATTATATAACTTTCAGAAACTAATAATAGAAACAGAAAACCTTTAGAGCAAACACATTTACAGGTAGCTTATTGTTAATGCAGGAATAAATAAAACAGGATAAAAATAAAATTAAATTGATTCTTATTAGATATGTTATTCATTTAGTTTTAAGTATTTTTTATGAAGTGAAAAATGTATAAAATGTGTAAATGTAATAAATCACATTTAATATTCATAACAAGTCTAATTACATATTTTACTAGCATAGACCATTTCAACAACAATAGGGTTTCATTTATGAATATGTTCAATATGTTTACCATTTGTACAAATATGCATATTTACACTAACAAAGTAACATAGACGTGTGCTGAAGTAGACGATAAAAATAAAATACATCAACACAATGCTTGAGGAAAATTCAGTATTACAGAAATCTCTTTCCTTCGACACTATATATAGGTTATATAAGATAAACACTATTTAAAAAAATGAATAAATTATGTTGTTTGCATCTCATTCAGAGTAAACAGTAATTGAAAAAAAAGTTAAGTTTTAAATAGGCAAACACAGCTAAAGGAATATTTTTTTAGTGTACAAACAAGTACTTTTAAACTTACAAAACATGCACCCAATTTATTGTAAACTGCAAATATATAGTTTGTACTCAACAGAAATGTTTATTTTACTCAGAAAATCTTGTTTCAATACTGATATTTTTCTCAGTATTTTATTCAAAACACTGAATATTTTATATTTGTAAATTTTTCAATACACAGTAACCTGGAAAACATGATTTGGATGGAAATTATGTACCTTAACAATATACTATATCATTTGTTTTTGTTTACCTAAAGTAGATGTAGGTCAAAGACCACAAACCTTTTCTGTGTGGTTCCATCAATAGCTTCTTTCATTTTCTCCTCAAAATCATCATACATTGCTCCATCTTCCACTTCTTCACCCCCTTTCAAATAAAAAGTCACAAAAGTTATAACCATAAAGAGATAAAGCAGGCTTGTATACTAAACACTGTGAACTGTTTCTTAGAAATAAAAACTAGCATAATCCACATTTACGGGACTGCTATAGCACAAACTTAATGTTGAACTACCATTTTGGATATTTTCAGTTTAATGATCATTGCCACTATAATGCAAATATAATTTCTTCAACCAAATTACAAATGGTAATTAGTCGGCCTACTTATTTATATGCTCTAATGTAAATGAATGCCAAGTTTGGGATCCACTTTTTGGGAATCCCCATAAGTGTTTTTGCAAAATACCTGGGTTCCCTAAGGGGTTGGGTGAAAAGTTTTACTTCTGTGCAAATCTTGGGACTGAGAATTCATTTAGCACCATTTAGAAGTCAGTGCAACCCAGCAGATAAGGAGTTACATGACACACATGCAGAAACCGATTCTTTTTATATAGATTTTTGTTGTTGTTGTTGTTCCATTTCAATACTTAAATAATAACTTAATGCTAAACTGCTTCACACAATTATTCATAAGCTTTTGTTTAACTGAAATAAACTTATTAAACTACATTTGTCCTGAAGAATAACCTTAGAAAATCAATACAAAAATATATTTTGTTCATTTCATAAGCCTACGAGTAAATCTCAAGTTTGAATAGTGCAGATTTCATGAAGTTACCACAAAGCACAACGGCAGCAAAATTCAATACAAATGATGTAAAGACATCAAGCAATTTCCAGTAATTCATCACAAAATATTTTAGTAGCTATGACAAAGTCATGAGTGGACTTGAAATTAGATTAAATTTCATTTATCATTAATAAACAATCAATAGAGACAACTAATTTAAGGAAA